AACATGGCAAAAACCTTCAGAACTGTGAGAAAATAATGTTTTGGTATGTAAGAAATCCTGCCCATGGTATTTAAATGGTTAAGTAAATAAGTATGAATATTAAATGTATATATTGGTGAAGAAATGACTATATAGTGGCTCAGCAGAGATTATATTAATAAAATTTAGAATATCTTAAGGAGCTGGGCGTGTTGGCGCATGCCTTTAATTCCAGCGCTTTGGAGCAGAGGTAGGTGGATCTCTGTGAGTTCAAGGCCAGCCTGGTCCCTGCTGAATATCTGATGTGCTTCTTAATGTTTGATGCGTGTTAAACTACTGTTAATTCACAAAATAAACATTGACATTTCTTGGGCATACGATTTCTGAGTGGTTTTGCTGCCGTCATACAGCAATACCATATTAATATCAAGTGATATAATTTAGTGTCTTCTAAAGTTATCTTTCTTTGACACTGTTTAGTTCATAATTTTACAAATTGGAATCCTGTAATTGTAAGATAATTCATATCTTGCATGCAGTGCTAATAAGATGGAATGGTTCCATTCTTGATTAATAACTGATCTTTCAAATGTTGATATTTTCTTGCATTAATTAAGTTTATAGGCCCAAAATTACTATAAAAAATCCTCAGTGTTATGGTTTGATTATTTTTATCATTTATCAACAATTACCCTTCCATACTACCCCTCTAAATTACCACATAACAATTTCTTATTGATTTCATTGGAATTTTAAATTTGTGAATGCTAAATTAAGTGATTTCACCAAACCATAAATTATTCCTCTGCTTTCAGAGAGCAACTGTGCTGCATCAAACATCTCAATAAAAAGAGAACAATTGGTAAAGTCACAGAAGTTTTGAATCTCCTAAGTGTGCAGACCACACCTCAACATTGTTAAAGGAATGATTTGTGGTTTATTAATCAAGTCCAATAAATTAAACGAAAGTCCCTATCATATACAACCTCAAAATAGGTTAACTGAATGTTTATACTCTGTTGTGAACTATCAGATACTTTTTGGCTTCTCATTTGATTAAAAAAACTTTATATATATATATATATATATATATATATATATATATATATATATACACACCCAGGAAATCCTCTGCGCTTATGCATATTATGGAAATATGTTTTCTTGTCTTAGATCATTATGCCAGAGATGAAATCAAACTGTTGCAATTGGATCAGATATTTATTTTGGCCACAAAAGAGTTTGAAAGGATCCCTCAAAAGAAAAATTAATTCTAAATATGTGTTAAGTGTGGATCAGAAGTCAAACTACTGATAGTCTTGTCTTCAAAATAGAAATAGGCAATTTACTTACAAAGGAAAGATAGAAAGAAAGGAAAGAAGGAAGGAAGAAAGGAAGGAAGGAAGGAAGGAAGGAAAACAAGTTTGGGTTTTAAGAAGAAATATCCATGAATCCTCAAAATGTTTTGAATAGCTTTCTGAGACTTTTTCCCAATGGTTCTGTTCCCAAAACATATTAAATGCCAGACAAAATTGCTAGAGCACTATGGACTCTGACAATTTAGAGATGTACAATAAATACACATCTTGATACATTCCTTAGTATGGGTGATCAAAGTAAAATGTAGAGATTCGAGTTGTAATCTATATTTTCATATATTACTCAGCATGTTTTATGTGTAAACCTACCTGGTATCAATGAAAATATTTGCTTCCTGGACAGATAAACCTGAAAATAGAAATACTGTTGATTCTTAAGTATTTTATATTCTATTGTTCCTTTAATTGTGTTTTTGTGTAAATAACAGCCATGCTTTTAAATAAGCATATGATATCCCAAGATTGGAATCTAAGTCTGTAGCATCTATTTTAAAGCTTTTAATATATAAGTACTTCCAAAATCTATTGATAATTATGTAAGGCATATTGAGATCATCACTATGGTTAGCAGATCTCCAGTATTAGGGAGAATTGTTTAGTCTTCCCTTAAGTGTTTAAATGCCCAAACCATGGAACATATTGAAAACTCACAAACAAGTTGAACATGATTGATAATATTTTTTATTTTATGTTTCTAATTTAGATAAAGTTGCATAACAACCCTTCCCTTTTTTCCTCTAGCCCTTCCCACCTTCCCTCCCTCAAACACCTTCCTTGCCTCCAGATCTCAAGTTAACAGCCTCTTTCTTTTTTTATTGTTATTGTTACATACATACCTGTATGTGTGTCTATGTGTGTAACATACTGAGTCTGTTTTTGATGTCTCTGTGTATATGGTTTTAGTGCTGACCAGTCTACACTGGACAGCCAATAAGGGGACTTATAACCCTGGGAAAAGCTAAATCTCCTTTCAACAGTCATAGTTGCTTGTAGAACATTGTCTAGGAACTGTAAAATTTTCCCCATTCCATATTAACACTTCCATTGATAATATCACTGTTTCAGTATGTGTATACAACCTTTTCTAGGACAGACTCTTTCATAGCAGACTTCCTGGCTCTTAAAATATTTTTGACTTCCTCTTTTTTTGTGGTTTTCTGAGCTAAAGATGCGGGACTTGTGATGCAAATGTATCTTGTTACCCAAGATCTTTTGATCTCTGCATTGTGTCGCACTGTGGCTTTCTGTGGTGGTTTTCATTTCTAATAAAGAGAGATTTTGGTGAAGTGTTTTAGAAAAACTGGTTAATTGCATCTCTCTTTTTGTAAGTTCACATAAAATTTTCTAAAACCGTGGACGATAGACCATAGGAAAGAATATTTCTTGTCAGATCCAGCTTGAATCAACTGAGTATTGTGTGCTATATGGCATACTCAGACCTAGGTGCTCACCCTTAAACAATGAGATACAAACAAAAGCTAATTCAATGTTGGTCTGGGAATCACGTGGGTTAAACTGACCTGCTTTTTTCTTTTTTGCCTGACACTGTGTTTTTGTTTGTCTATTGTTATTCATTTTAAGGATGATGAGTACTTTTTGAGGTATTTCACGTCGGTTTTTATTTCTTCTATAGAGAACTCTTTTTATTTTAAGATTACTAGCCCATTTTTTAATTGGGTGGCTTCTTTGACTCTTTATATTTTGAATTCTTTATATATTTCAGATATTAGTCCTTTGTCAGATGTAGCTGGAAAAGATTATACCCGACAAAGTTTTCCTCCCATTCTATAGAGTTCATTTTGGCTGGATTATTTCCTTAGCTATACAAATTTTTAGTTTTGTGATTTATCAGTTGTCAGCCTTAATTGCTTGGCAAAACAATCCGTTTTGTAAGTACTTTCCTACACCTACTGTTCTGCCTATGTTTTCTTCTAGCAATTTTATTTTTTAGGATTCAAATTGTGGTCTTCAATCTATTTGGATCTAATATTTGTATATTTGTGCATCGTGATAGATATGGGTCTATTTTCATTCTTCTAAATACATTCTGGTAATGCTTTTCCCCTCCCCCAATGCCTCCCAGAAACTCTCCACCCATTTACCCTCCCATGACTTACCTTTATCTCTCTTAAACAAATATACAAGCAAAAACACTCATGCCCAATAACATCCACACAAAAATACTAAAAACAGAAATCAGATTATGCAAGCATAAGAAAAATGCTCAAACAAAGGAATATGAAACAAAAACTCTCCAAAAATACCATTGTGCTCCTTTTGTGTTGGTCAGCTACTCCTAGGATTGGGACCTATAATAAAGTATGCTTAAAATACCTAGTGAGACTCTCTTTGGAGAAACTATTTTTTTTTTGCATGTGGTTGTCAACACAGAAAGCTTCTTGATTCATGTTGGAAGCTCCTGACTGCCTCCCACTCTGAAAGCTTACACCCTTCATTCTATTTTTAAATTTCTCCTTAATTTTCTAATAGGGTAAGAAGCTTTTCAATCCCATCTCCGATTCAGTGTTGCATTCCCTTGGATGTTTTGGTTTGTTTATTGAATTCAAGTTTAAATCATGATTTATCTTCATTATCTCATTCAGGTGTGAAATTGTGTTTTCTTCAGCATCACTATAGCATTTACTATCATGCTACAGAAGTTCAATGAAGTGTTTCTTCATGTCTTCTTTAAATTTCTTTAATTCATTTAGAAAGTTTATGATTATTCTTTAAATATTGTATGTTCCTGCATTTGTTGAGGTAGCTTCTGTTAGAGAACACTTACATAATACTGGTGGGTTTGTTTTTTTTTTTTTTTGATTTTTCGAGACAGGGTTTCTCTGTTGTTTTTGGTGCCTGTCCTGGAACTAGCTCTTGTAGACCAGGCTGGCCTCGAACTCACAAGGATTCGCCTGCCTCTGCCTCCCGAGTGCTGGGATTAAAGGCGTGCGCCACCACCGCCCGGCTACTGGTGGGTTTTGTAAGAGACATGCTGTGCTTTTATTGTTGTTGCTGCTATTGCTTTTTGTTGCTGAAGCTATGGTTTTTGTTGTTGTTGTTTTTGTTTTGTTGTTTTCTTCTGATTTGGACAGTCATGTGGACTTCTTTCTTTTTTGTGTGTCTGATATACTAATCTACTCTTCCTTAGATTGGGCCAGTGCAAGAAATGTGAAAAAAAAACCTGAGCTGAGGTAGGCTAAGCTGATGCGTGAGCTGCGCCACTCAAAGAGGGTGCACAAATGAAAAGATTTAAGGGCTATATGTCTGAATCTAAGCTGGTGTGTTTGCACATTTTAGTGGATTAGATAAACCAAAGGCAACACAAGAAAGCTACTTACCCAGGAAAGGTGGCCACACACCAAGGGAGGTTTGTAGGCCATAGGTCTGGAATTAGGATTGTGTGTTTGCAAATGGCAGAGGGGGAAGAAGAAAAAAATGGAATGCAACTTAACCAAGAGAGGTAGCCCCTTACAAAAAGTGTTTGTGGGCCTTAATGGTTCTGGAACTAGGGTTGTGAGTTTGCCGATCAATAAAGAATTTCTAAAAAGTACAATTGATTGCAGGTCTACAATGAAAATTTTTAAAGATTTTCAAGGAAAAATATTTCAACTGAATTTTTTTTTATTTCAAAATTCTTTTTAGGTGGAAGTGAATCGTCCTGGGACAAAGATAAGATACAGTCTCCACTTGCTGCTCCTGGAGCTCAACATGGAATGGCTCATGCAGCACTGACTGGCCACCCCAGCCTCGGGAGTGCTCCGACCCTCAATCCACTTCAGCAGAATCACCTGCTCAGCAATCGTAAGTGTACTATTCTGACCAAATTGCTTGTCAGAAAAATAGAAGGCAACACCTTCTAGATACCTTGGATTGAAAAAGCTTAGTCTATTTCTCTTCCATAAAGAAAACAGTTTGTATTTCAGAACCACAGGAAGAAATTAAGAATGATTTCTTTGAAAATATGAAATTAGTGTCACACAGATAACTGGGGAGGCATAGTAACAGAGGAAAATAAAATATGTAAGTTTGTGTGAGGCTATTAAGCAGAGTAGTAAGGAATGTTGACAAGGAGAATATTGACTTGTATTTCAAGTTTATTTTTTACAAAATTATATATCATGTTACTTTGGAGAAGTCTTCAAGCAGTTTTGACAGATAAATGTAAGGGTGAAATGTAACTATTTCAAGTTATTCTGAGTACTACAAATTGACAAAGGCAAATATGTTAATAATTCATTGCTCATAACAGTTACTATGTAAATTAATCATTAATAGTTCTTAGGAATGTGAATATAGATGATTTGTACAAGTTTCTATTTAGATGATCTTTGTATGCACTTGAAATACTCTTAACTCTTTCTGCTGTAAAAATGATCTTCCAACAAAAATTCTTGGGTAAAAAATACTACATTTCTTATGAGTAAAAATCCCTGTAGAAGAGTTGTTATTCCTTTTCCTGAGAGTTTTATTTTCCCACTAAACACTAGTGTTGAAGCAATTGAATTTTGAAATGGTTCACCCTCATGATATACAATCACCAGAGTAAGGGCCTTGTATAATAGTAGTTTATCATAGCTGTAAGAAACAAAACCTCAGGTACTATATATTATGAATTCTGTAGAGAGAGGAAAAAGAGAAATTTGGGGTACAGAAAAAAGGCAGCAAATGAAAATTGAATACCTCATATTACATACACAACATATTTTAAATCAAATCCTGTTTAACCTAAATCAATTCCCTAAAGATAAAGTTTTCTCAGCTTTTATGCACCCAATAAATCATTTGGGACTTTCAAGCAAAGGAAACCATCAACAAGACAAAACAACAACCTACTGAATGGGAAAAGATCTTCACTAAACCCACATCAGACAGAGGTCTGATCTCCAAAATATACAAAGAACTCAAGAAAGTGATCATCAAAAGAACAAATAATCCAATAAAAAAATGGAGTACAGTCCTAAAGAGAGAACTCTCAACAGAGGAATCTAAAATGGCTGAAAGATATTTAAGGAAATGTTCAACATCCTTAGTCATCATAGAAATGCAAATCAAAACAACTCTGAGATTCCATCTTACACCTGTAAGAATGGTCAAGATTAAAAACACTGATGACAATTTATGCTGGAGATGTTGTGGGGTAAAGGGGACACTTCTGCATTGGTGGTGGGAATTCAAGCTGGTACAGCCCCTTTGGAAGTCAGTGTGGCAATTTCTCAGAAAATTAGGAAATAACCTTCCTCAATACCCAGTAATACCACTTTGGGGATGCACAATTGTGCCATAAGGACATGTGCTCAACCATGTTCATAGCAGCATTGTTTGCCATAGCCAGAACCTGGAAACAACCTAAATGCCCCTCGACTGAAGAATGGATAAGGAAAATGTGGTACATTTACACAATGGAGTACAACACAGCAGAAAAAAATAACAACATCTTGAATTTTGCAGGAAAATGGATGGAGCTAGAAAACATTATTTTGAGTGTGGTAACCCAGACCCAGAAAGACAATTATCACAAGTACTCGTTCATAGGTGGTTTTTAAACATAAAGCAAAGAAAGCCAGCCTACAAACCACAATCCCAGAGAACTTAGACTACAATGAGGACACTAAGAGAGACTTACATAGATCTAATCTAAATGGATAGTAGAAAAAGACAAGATCTCCTGAGTAAATAGGGAGCATGGGGCCCTTGGGAGAGGATTGAAGGGAATAGGGAAGAGGCAGGGAGAGGAGCAGAGAAAAATGTAGTGCTCAATAAAAATTCAATTTGAAAAAAAAAGAAGCAAACAGAAAATGCATCTCATGAAAAAGAGTACTGTTTGAAAAACAAGTCAAAGATTGATGAAGTAGCTCGTGAGCTAAAGGACTTTTCATTAGAGTTTTAGAAAATGAGTGGAGATGCATAGATCACATGACAAATCTGTGCTCAGTAGTAGGTCTATAGTCTGAGCACTCCATGGGATGAGGGCAGAGGCACTTGGTTCCTTAAAGTTATTGTTTTGTTTTATTTTAATTCAATTTATTTTAAAATTTCTCTTTCATTCTTTGTGTCTTTACATCATGCATCTAATCCCCTTCATTTCTCTGAACCTTTCTAACTACCCTCTGTACTTGCAACCTCTCCCCACCAAATAAAATAAAATTAAATAAAAAAATAAAGAAAAATCAGTCTCTTCATGGAAGCTGTAGTGTGACATATTGAGTCACACAGTATATGCTTTTATCCATATATTTTTACTTGCAAATAGTCATTGATCTGGTTCATGGCCTCTGGTTTATGCTACATTGTCAATGCTGGACCCTCACTATAACTCCTCTTGGATATCTTGAGCTTGCCCTGTGTTGCGGAAATTCTGCAGCTTTGGGTCTGCAGGACTGGTCGCTTCATGTGTTCCAGCAGATCACAGATGGGGTGCATGTTGGTGTGGACCTAGTCAAAACCCTGGTTCTATGCCTGGGTAGTTGCAACATTGGTCAGCCTGCTATTTCCCCTTGAAGCTCTTGTTAAGTTCATCTAACAGCACCAGTGAGCTCCAGATAATGTGAAAAATCATGTGCTAAAATAGTGGAAATGTGACACAGCACAAAAGACAGAAGATTTAGAAAAATTAAAAACTAAAAAATGTCAAAGGATATACTAGAAATGAAAAAATGTCCCTATAACATTATGGATAATAATTTTAATTGAATTCTATGTAATCTGTGAGCCTGAAATTAAATTTCCCCAAAGAAAGAACAGTTAATACCAATACTCTTCAAATTATTCCATAAAAGATATACGTAAAGAGCATTGCCCAGTTCATTTTATGAGGCCACAGTTATTGTGATACCCAAACCACATAAATATTCAACATAGAAAATAATTACAAACCAATTTTTCTTGTGAAGCAAGGTACAAAAATTCCCAATGAAACACTTACAAACCAAATCCAAGAACACATATGAAAGAACATCCACCATGATTAAGTAAGCTTTATCCCAGAGACACAGGGGTAGTTCAATATACATAAATCATTAAATGTTATCCACCATACAAAAACCACTGAAATATAAAATAAAAGGTGACCTTCTCATTAGATGATAGCAAAGCCTTTGACAATATCCAGCACCTACTCATGATAAAAAGTCCTGGAGTGTTTAGGGATATATGAGTCCTGCATAAATATAATAAGGGCAGTTGATAGCAGGTCCATAACCAACATCAACTTAAAAATGAAGAAACTCAAAGCAATTACATTAAAATTACGGACAAGGTAAGGTTTCCCACTCTCTTCATACCTATTTAATGTAGTACTTGAAGTCTTAACTAGACCAATAAGAAAAATACAGGATATAAAAGGAATACAAATTGGAAAAAAAGAAGTCAAGGTATCTTTATTTGCAGATGATATGATAGTATACATAAGCGACAATAAATGTTCCATTAGGAAACTCCTACAGCTGCTAATTTCAGCAAAATAGCTAGATAAAAATTAACCCAATAAAATCAGTAGCCTTCCTATATACAAATGGCAAATAAACAGAGTGAAGTCAGGGAAACAGCATCTTTCACAATAGCCTCAAATAATATAAAAATATCTTGGGGTAATTCTATCCAAGTAAGGAAAGATTTGCATAATAAAATTTTTACAATGTTGAAGAAAGAAATTGGAGAAAGTACCAGAAGATGGAAAGATCTCCCATGCTCATAGATCAATAGGATTAATGTAGGTTACCTATTGCTCATAGATCAGAAATTTTAACTGAAAATAATAGAAAAATATGGCCATCCTTTAAAAAACAATCTATAGATTCAGTGCAATCCCCATCAAAATTACAGTAGAAATCTTTGGAGATCTTGAAAAGATAATATTGAGCTTCACATGGAAACACATGCATACAAACACACTCACACACACACATAGACAAACAAAACTGAGAATGGCTAAATTAATCCAGAATCATAATTAACTGTTGGAGGTATTTCCATCCCTGACCTCAAATTGTACTACAGAGCTATAATAAAAATAAAAAGCATGATATTGGCACAAAAACAGATACACTGATCAATGGAATCAAAATGAGGACTGAAACATAAATCTACATACCTTTGGACACCTGATTTTTGATAAAGAAGCCAGAAATTAATACTAGGAATAGAACAATATAATACAGAAAATAAAACTAACTTTAACAATTATGGTGCTGAAATTGGATGGTCAAAATTAGAAGAATCCAAATAGATCCATACTTCTTTTTTTTTAGAAAGTAATTTTATTAAATTATAAAAGTTTCCATTTCTGCCCCTCCTCCCAACACCCTCCCACTCCCCCCCACTCCCTCTCCTCCTCCCTCTCCATCCCTAAGAGCAGTCAGGGTTTCCTGCCCTGTGGGAAGTTCAAGTTCCTCCCCGCTCCCTCCAGGTACAGGAAGGTGAGTGTCCAGACAGACTGGATCCCCAAAATCCAGTATATGCAGAGGAAACAAGTCCCAGTGTCATTGTCAATGTCTTTTCAGAAAGACTCCGGGCCAGCCACATTCAGAGAATCTGGTTGGATCGTGTCCTCGTTCAGTCCCAGTCCAACTGGCCTTGGTAAACTCTCATTAGATCTGTCCCCTTGTATCAGTGGGTGATCGCATCCCCCGCAGTCCTTATTTTCTTTTTCATTTTCTTCCTCTTTCTGCTCCTCATTTGGACCTTGGGGGGCTCAGTCCGGTGCTCCAATGTGGGTCTCCGTCTGTATTGCCATCCCTCGTCAGATGAAGGTTCCCTCTGGTCTTGCCTTCTTTGCTCAGGTTCTCTTTCCTTCTGCTTCTCAT